AACTTAACCTACAGAGCTTGTCCTACCTGAGTGAGTGAGTTTGTAGGTTTGAATGCCACCACTCTAATTCCTGCTTTGTTATTAAGAATCCTACGTAGGGAGTGTCTCAGATGTCCCCTCCTTATATGGTATAACAGTAGATGACTTATATTCTCTCTTATGTCAATTCCACTCATGTATATAAATGAAGGAAGACGAAAGTTGTGTGAGTTAGTGAGTGACTTGATATGATGATTATGAGTGGCAATAATAAATTGTGCTCGAAACGTGGTCGCATCAGTTAATATTACTGTATAACACTGTGTGTCATAATGGAGTTACCTCTGTTTTCCCAACTCTATCTAGGTGTCATATACGACGATGCATCAGTCATCGATCAGTCGACATACAATACAATACCCAGATTATTTGAGGAAGTATTGAAACCGCCAATCCTTGAACATTACACGGACATTTCAACGGGGAATTCCTCCACCTTGTCAACATCTCAGAAATTCAAATTTACAGTGGAGAAATTTTATATCAATCAAGGTGAGTGAGTAGAGTTCATTCATTCATTCCTTTGCCTGGGAACTAACTGAGATGAGAATGGTAAAGCAGACAGGCAGGCAAAAATAAAAAAAGAAAGAAAATGTGATCGCTCACAATAAGTGTCGTTTTTTTAGGAATGCAGTTGTCAGATATGTCGACTGAATTATCGGCATTTCATTGGTGTTGCTATGGAAACGCATACGTGTTGTGGTTAGCATTTTTTGTGATATATAATTCAACTCCAGCAGCAAAGCAACTGAAAGAAACAGACATAGATCGACATCGTCAATGACCTCAGTGAAGAACAAATCCAAGTTGTACAGCAGAGTAAGATGAGGGGCTAAACAGCAAGCACATACAGGCGAGTCTTCCCATCGTATCACCCAGATTTCATAGATTCAAAGGACAGACGATTGTTGTACTTACTTATCGTTAAGTTCATTGTGGTGTTTTATAACGTGTACCCGAAATAGGAGGATACAACCGCTTAACTTAACCCCCCAACTGATATTTCTATTATGCAATACAAATTAACTTCAGTTTAATATATGTGTAAAACTTAGCACTGTGATAGGTAGTAAGTAATTCCATATTAGTTTGTTTATCAGATGGATGTATTACACAGTCAGTGAATGAAACAGTATTAGTATTTACTGGATGACAAAGTTGTTTCGAACACAATTCATTATTGCTGTTCATAATCATATCATCAATTATAATCACACGACTTCGAAACTTGAGTCTGATAGTTTTCTTTGTCCTCTCCTATTTGTCGTCGTCATTGGGGTAGTAGAATTTTCCAGATATCTGGCTGGACAGGTGTTGAATCATTCCTATTACATGTATTTGCAGTTGATTAGATAAACAAGGCTTCTGATATGAAACTCTCCATCGCTCCACCCTGTGACATCAGATTTTAAAACTGTCATCCTATCCCATCCAGCCTATTGTATGGTTGTGTGTCACTGCATGTAGTGCTATAGCTGAACTATTCTCTAGATTCGTTATCTTATTCGGTTCAACTAATCTAGATTTTGCTGCTAGGTTTTTATGTTCGGCTAGTCTGACTCACTGACTGCCCCTGTTCTACTACTCTGACCTATGTATTTGACCTGACAATCATCACAGACAGGGTATTAGATAAACTAAATTGTTTTGTCGGTTGAAGGCTCCACAGGATTGATCCTTCAACCGACAAAGCTTGTTTCTAATTGAGTTTGTGGTTGGTTTGAATGCCAGTCACTTTAATTCTTGCCCGCCTTGTTAAAAATTCTGTGTAAGGTGGTTTCCGAGGTTCCTTCCTTGTATGGAATTACTACTGATGATTTAGATTCCTTATTGTCGGTGTCGTCATTAATATTATTATTATTATCACTATTAACATTATTATCATTATTATTGTTATTATCATTATCGCTACTATCATTATTTATTTTTATTTTACATTTCCCTACATACTTTCTGACTAATTTATCCGGGTAATTATTAAGTTTCAAGGCTTCTCTTATATGTCTCACTTCCTGTCTTAGATTTTCCTTGGTACTACTTAGCTTTTGTGCTCTATTACTTAAACATTTCACCAATCCTATTTTCACTGACATAGGATAGGATGGTCGGAAGTCCAAATATCTGTTTGAATGTGTGGGTTTCCTGTAAACACACACTAGCGTGTTTAACTTCCCATCTTCTTTCCTTTTCACACTACAATCTAACATTGGAAGCTCCCAATTCACAAGTGCATTCAATTGCCTCCACCTTTGAGTTAATGTGTTCGAAAAATCTATCTATATCTTGTGTTCTAAGTACAGTGAATGTGTCATCTACCTCATACCTCCACCATACTTTTGGGGTGGGTGGGACTGAACGTTTCAATCGCTATGTTTTCTCACCTAGTCATGAATATATCTGGCACAATCGGGGATATTGGTGATCCCATGACGACTCCCTCAGTTTGTTTGTATATTTTCCCTTGGAGGAATTTAAATACTGTGGAAGTCAGGCATAGCTGCACTCCCAGCATTACGTCCTCAAGTAGCACTTTCATCCTAAGTTCGAGTTCTTCATCAGAAATGAGTTCGTTTCTGACTGCCTCTATATCCATATTTTTTGGTATACGTGTATATAAACTGACAATGTCAAAACTAACCGTTTTCTCTTCATTATCTAATTTGAAATTATCTAATCTACGTTTTAGTTCATAAGAATTTGTTAGTTTACATTTCGAGTGGCTTTTTAGGGAATTTAATACCAAGGCTAAATATTTAGATAATTCATATGTAGGTGAATTTCTAAAATCAGCTACAGGCCTAATAGGGTATCCTGACTTATTAACTTTAACAACACCATACATCCTACTGGGGTTATTAGTTTTGGGCATTAATAAATTAAACCACTTAGACTCACCTAGAAACGGCTTCATTCGGCGTATAAGGTCCGCTGTGGATTTCTTAACTTTATTCAAAACTGTGTCTATTGATTTATTAATTTCCTCATATGGTCCTGTTTGCATGTGAGTATTTACCTTGTCCAAATAGTCTGATTTGTCTAATACTACCGTTGCATTTCCTTTGTCTGACTTTGTGAACACTATATCCTTGTTATTCTTAAGGTGTTTCAGGGCTTCTATCTCTGGTTTTTTCAGGTTAGGCTTTCCACATTTTTGTCGTTTTAATGTGTAAGTGCACATTGTGCCCGTACTTCATCAGGAAGTAGATCCTGTATCTGAGACATTTAAGATTTTGCTAGCTGCTCTTTTGTATCCAATAATTCGTCAACTCTGATAAATGAGATAGGTACAAAACTGTGGACCAAGAGAGGATGGGGATTTGCATCTGAATCCCGGAGCTTCACACACACACGCACTTTAATGACGACTAGTTAACACTAAGCAATCACTACTCTAAAAAGTTTAACGTTGTTTATATTTTTAAAATTCCATTATGGGTAGATTTTATTTTGATAAAGTCTCACAGTGTTATACAGTAATATTAACTGATGACGTTTGCAGCACAAATTATTGCTCTGTAGACTAAAAGACCCGAGGGATACTATTAAACAAAATAATATAATTTACAAAATACCCCCAAATGACTGTGAGTTAGATTCGATGAACCAGCCAGGATTCAGTAATCGACCTCTTTCTCCACCTACCTAGATTACTTTTTAGAATTTCAACCCTCTCCCACCATGCTATTGTGTGGTTGTGTGTTAATGCATGCAGTGCAATGTAGTGCTGAGATTTTTTCTAAATTACTTATCTTTTCAGGGTCAACCATTCTTCCCTTAGCTAAATTCTTATGTTCCGACAATCTGACTACCCCCAACCTACTAGTTTGACCTAACTCACAGTCATTGCAAGGTATTTTTTAAATGGTATTATTTTGTTTAATTGAGTCAACCGACAAGATCTTTTAAGTTAACCTACAGAGCTTGTCCTACCTGAGTGAGTTTATAGGTTTAGATGCCACCAGCCTAATTCCTGCTTTATTTAGAGTCCTATGTAGGGTCTGAGATGTCCCCTCTTTATATGGTACAACTGTAGATGGCTTATATTCTCTCTTATTTATGTTATTATTACTAGTTTCACAATTATTTTTCTTTTTCTTTTGGCGTTTTCCAATCTTCCTAATGAATTTTAAAGGATAGTTATTTAACACCAACTCCTCTTCTATCTGTTTTATTTCATCCTTTAGATCTTTTCTTGTGCTACTTAGTGCCATTGCATGGTTTGTTAAACACTGAACTAAGCCTGCCTTAACAGTTAAAAGATGAGATGAATTAAAGTCTAAATATCTATTAGCAGAATACGTTGGTTTTCTATCAACACAAGTGTGTAGTTTGCCTTCTTCTATTCGTTTTATTTCACAATCAAACACCACAGCTAATTCTCCTTGTTCATTTTCGGTTTCAAATGTGAATTTTATTCCCTCCACTAGTGAGTTTGTGTGTGTCAAGAAGCTAGAGAGAGATATGTTCTGTTTTTAACACTGTGAAAGTGTCATCCACATATCTCCACCATATTTTTGGAGTAGGATTAAACGTATTAAGTGCCATATTTTCCCAGCTATCCATATATATATATATATGCTACGATTGAGGATATTGGTGATCCCATTGCTACACCTTCAGTTTGTCTATATATTTCGCCTTGGAATTTAAAGATGGTAGATGTGATAGATATTATTACCAATCAAATCAAGTGAGAATCGAGTGAAAAACAACGGAAACTATATAAATGAATTTAGGAAGTCGTGTGAGTAGTGCCTTGATATGATTATGAGCAGTGATAAATTGTGCTCGAAACTTGGTCATCAGTAAATATTACTGTATAACACTGTGAGACTTTATCAAAATAAAATTTACCCATAATGGAATTACACTCTACCACAGTGCCGAAGTTTTATTCTTATATTTTTTTAAAAATTTTATTTTTGTGCTTATCTTCCCCCCTTGTTTTCTTTCTTCTGTAGGCGCCTCAAATGAATTGTCACATGTTTCATCAACATCTGTGATGTTAAATCCTCTCGAAATTGACTGGTTGGAAACAGCTACTACCAAGAAGGAACATCCTTTAAATCCTTCGAACAGTTCAACTGATCAAAATCCTGTGTTAAATGATTTTCCAGATATTTCTAACCACCACCCTATACCCAATGATGACAATGATGATGATACTGGCAGTGATACGTCGTTGGCGTCGACGTCTTCGCCCCTTTTGTCAGAAGAGGAAGAACAACAGCAACAACAACAACACGAGAAGCTGTCACAGGCACAGAATAATTTGATGCATTTAGATGAGAAGATTTTGTCACCATTTGAAAAGGCTTTAGACTCAATGGAGGCTTATTTGGATGCTATCACAATGCGTGTAAACAGCTTTGAACAATTACTACTCAAAAAGAATATTAATCGATACAACCAGAATACTATGATGAACAATTCTCATTCAATGGGTTACAATAACAAGACTTACAAAGTTGCGCAAAGAAGAAGAAAATTACCCGGTGAAAATAGCAGCAACGTTGTTCATCCACGCGGAGATTTCAAACGTCCACCACCACCGCCTCATTATCATCAGATGTTGTCGAGTCGGGGTGGGGGTGGTGGCGGTCGCAGTCGCAGTCGTAGAAAATACTCATCATCATCATCGCCATCGATGATTATTCCTTATCGTGGACAATATCAAACTCTTAGAGATAATGTGCGTTATTCAGAGAATTATGTGAATAGTACTCATAGTGCTGCTGCAGCCCCAACAACGACCACAACAACTCAACGCATCCACTACTATGCACAGAACACGGCAGTAGCCGCAGCACCGCCGACAGCATCACAACAACAACAACAGCAGTTGTGTGTGAATCCTACTTTCAAGTGTAGTAGTACGCCATTAAGCAGAACTTCTTCCCCTTCCTCTTCTTCTGCAGACAAACCTGTCATTCGTCTTTTGAATAACGTTCACTTATAAACTCCTGTTAATAGACACTGTCATTCCTTTTGTTAATGCTAACTCACTATCGAAAGTGTAATTTATTATTGCCCTGAGTTTGTCACACCACCACTCATTGCCTGAGTGAGTGGGCGAGTGATATTTGCATGTAACGTCGTTTTACACTGCCTTTTGCTGATGAGATGCATTCCACCTTTTTTTTCATTGTTTGTTACTACTGTGTTGTCAAGGAACTTCTTAATTAAACCTTAAGTGGTCCTACTATATTTGCGAAGATACCTTCGAATCGATAAATTCCACTGTGAACGATTATCGTCAACATTAACTCCAAAAACAAACACAAGGACTTTTATATTAAGTTGTGTATTTATTGTTCGCCAATTAAAATCGAAGTCGATACAAGTTCTATAAATAAGTAGAATGTTTTACAAGGAATGCATCAGTACTTTTATTCATTCGTATTCTTTCGTCTTCTTCTTCCTCTTCTTCCAAACGTGTACACACGATTGAATCATTTTGCGCCTTTGAGTTTCCCGCCCAATGGCGACCAAGGTCAATCAATGAACCAATGAACGTTCAATGTTCACATTCATTTATACTTCCTGGCAAAAACTGGGTCCATCCCTTTTTTCTATCATGGCGTTAACCTTGAACTGAACTGCCAACGCGACAACCTGGACCAACCGGGGCTTGCTCAGTGATCGGAACTTTCCTTTGCTCTCTGTCGACAGTACCACCACTGATCTGGTCCTCGGGGTGTTGGTTGCTTCATGTCACTCTAGCACAATCCCCCGTCCCTCCCCGGCGTATCAAATCGCGTACAATCACTCTAACACCACTCGATTCGTTCACAAGTGTAGAAGACTAGAAACGACTTCAGAAGTACTTACAATAACAACATTACAAGATGATTCACACAATGCAACAACTATAAAATTAACCAACAATAAGATGAATTGGAACCCACTCTATTAATTAACACAAATATATGTACAATCAATACATCAAATGTTGTGGATCCTGCCTTGACGTGCTACCCTTGAAGAATTGTAGGACTTACAGCAGTACGCCTACATTCCTTCTCAGGTTGACGATCCAAGTGGAAAGTGGTCCGGACACAAATAATAATTATTATTGTTGTTCTTTTGTAAATATTTTTACAACTAGTAATTTTCAGGCTGTGTTTATTTGTACAACTGATAAAGTGTGTATTTTCCTCCTAAAACGTGTATACCATTCTCAATCTTATACCGCCCACCGCCGCCGCCCTTGTAATATACATCCGTTGCAATCATGTTTGTGTATATATTCATATTTGTCAATAAATTAATTAACTGTCTCTGTCTGTCTGTCTGTTATCGACATAGAACTTTGCACTGATGTACGGCAGTTCAAGTCGCCATACTGCCTCCTTGTAGCACACAAACCAAGAGAAGAAAGTAGAATAGAATGCATAATAGAGAGAGACAGTAAACAGAGGTGTGGTGAGACAAAGAAATAGTAATAACGAAGAACAATATAGTTTCATTGGAAATCATAAGTCACAAGGAGTGGATGCATCTGCGCCAGCCAGCCAGCCATTGAGAACGATCACTTTGAGCCAGCCATATCACCAATTGTTTCCAACCTTCATTAGTTTTTACCGTCATCCCAAGGACCTCAACCGGTCAGGAAGCCAGTCTACACCTTCCTACGTGGCTGACTGGCTTAATCTAACTGTTGTGGATTTCATTGAGTGATGAAGCCATGTTTTCCATCTTTTCCAGCCTGACCAATCCTATGTCAGCTAACATTGCCCATTGTCGAGGAAGGCGATGACTAGTCATGCATGCGTAACACATGTCCTAACCATCTCAGTCGATTTAATTTCACAGCCTCATTGTCGATTGATTCCCCCTCCTTACCTAGCACTTGACCGACGCCTAACCTTAATATTTCTCACCTTATTATACAAGTTCACACGGGAGATAGAACGCAGGCACCTATGATCTAAGACAGCTAGCCACCCTTTTCATGTCTTCCACTCTCAATGGACTAGGACTTGAGATACCATATAAGTCAAGCTTATCAACCTGTGATTATCACAGGAAGACTTGTCTTCCTTCTTGTATATCGGGATGATCAGTGACTTACACCAACCCGATGTGACTGCCTCTGATTCCCAGACGCTGCCTAGAACCTCCGTTAACGCAGACAGTAAACTGTCTCCACCGTACTTGAATAACTCTGGAGTCATCCCATCAGGTCCCGCTGCTTTGCCTTGCTTCAGATTAGTAACAGCTTTGGTAACCTCAGTTAAGGAAGGAGGACCTGTGTCTATATCCCATTCAGGGATTTTAGGTTAAGTGTGGCTGTGGGCCAATTAAACTACTCCTCATAGTGTTCTTTCCAGCGTTCCAGTCGTCTATCCTTGGAGCTAATTATGGTGCCATTTTTCTCAGAGATTGTTTCACTTATCATGTACCTTTTGCCACCTGTTTCCGTGATAAGCCTGAATAGTTAGTTGTCTGGTGTTGCCAATCGCCGATGCCTTTTTGACATCTCTTTCGCTTCTGCCTCTGCATGCACCTAGATTGCTCTGTGTATATACACATTTACACTATTTTGTTAGATTAGACAGAGAGGTAGATGTACTTGAAATACAGAGAACACCTTCAGCTCGACAGTAAGAATTGTTTCTCCTCTCATGACATTGATTATTATGATCATGCTCATGAGAATTGGGAGGTGGGTAGGGTGACGTCGGGTGAAATATGTGTGTTAATGGGGGTTGTTGGTATTTGTAATTCCCAACATCAGTTAGAGAATCATGGAGCACTGCACAGTTGTTTCGTCCTAGTTTGGGACTCTTCACTCTACTGCACATCATCCTACAAAGCAGCCGTGATCTGAATATCAGTCTCCAGCTGATAGATGGTCACCACCACTGGATGAATGTGCTGAACCTGAGAAGTAGTAAGTCAAGGTCAGTTGGGTCCCCACCCATGTCATGGTGAAGTGGATACTCACAAAAAAGGAATTGGGGGTGACGGGGTAGCTCTGTATCTCACAAATTGACAAAGTCAGGATTCCTGTGTCACTGAATCCCAACCCAAGTGGCTGAACGATCAACGAGCTTTGTGTGGGTGGGTGGGTGTTCACCGCCGGATTGGAGTTCTTAAATAGGATGAGACAGCTGTACACACTTCTTCTTGGTTTTCTACGGCCTGTAAATGATGCTGTTGTTTCGTGACAGAAATCTACCATTTTGAAATTAACTTTATCTAAGTTTGTAGTATCGTTTCAGCGCTTACGAGCATTGAAAGGAGGTTTCCCATCCCGACTGAAATCTCACTTAAGTTTTATGAATATGTGTGTCTTGTATTGCTTGCCTTTTTCATGCGGGTGTGTGTGGGTTGCCTGCTGCATAGGGTTTGCGGTGGTTAACTACCTTCATGCCCCTCACCTTCTTTCTCACCTAGACTTAATATGGGCTAATGAAGTAGGCAGAGTTGTAGGAGAGTGTAATGGTTAAGAATGGTGTTTTTATAGTGGCTAAGGCTTCACTGTCCATCTGGACGCTTGTTTGGCTGGCTAGCTGGCTATGTATGTGAAGCCTGTCAGGGAAGAGAAATCTTATGGGTAGAGAA